CGCTATTTAGTACGCAAAAGTTGTCGAATCGAGCGCTCGATTTGTCAGATCACCACTGAAAATCCAGTTAAACGTGTTTGAACTTTCCAGGTAGGGCGATCCGACTGCGCCGAATCGCACGATGTGAGGCAAAGTGGAAATTTAAACGGCTAATGAAAATACATGTCAAACGTTAGCGAAGTCGTGGTAAATAGTGAGTCGAAGATCACAAAATCATATATATTTAATCATTTTTGATAACAGTACTACAATTAATTAACACAAAATTAAAAATTTAAAAATCAGAATACTTAGTCAGTTATCGTAACAGCCCGGATTTTGCGGGAACGTGTTTCGAACCTGCCTACCTAACGTCGTGGAGAACTCGCCCGTAGCTTGTTACGAAAATGGCAATCGAGTGTCTAGGTATCAGTCATCGCCCGTACGGTGAAAGTCGATACCTGAAAGGGCAATCCGATTTCGGTGATTGGATGAATTTCCTGCATGCTCGCCCGATGCTTTGACCTTTGAGGCGGAAACAACAACACACCTGAAAGCGGCTTTAAGTGTTCAGTTATCAGTCATGCCATGAATATCGACTGACGAATTAGTATTGCCGGGTCGGATTGTCTTACCGACGAAGCGTTGTGCTAGTTTAGTACGCTTAAGTTGTCGAATCGAGCGCTCGATGTCAAGCGATCATCACATGAAAATCCGTAAACTGCGTTTTAATCCTTCCAGGGCGGACTGACTGCTGCGACGCAGGACGATGAGGCGAAAGGAAATTTAAACGCATTATGAAAACATGACAGATACGTAAATAGCTAGTTGAAGGATCATCAAAACTATAAGAGCATACCAATATTTTTCATATTTTATAGATGGTTAGATATCGAAAAGAAATATTATGCACGCTTTCAGATGACAAAATATTTAAAATCAAAAGAAAATAAATTTGCTACTGTTTTCCCTGTATCTTTCAAATGTAAGCCACTGAAAGCTAAACACATAAAATAGTGAACACCGTCAAAACTGAGTGAAACAACTGTATCAAGCCAACAATAGAACGTTCTCGGGCTATAATATAAATTGTACATTTCATAATATGTACATTTGAATCGTGCATACTGTTAGCAATAACTATAATTGGTTTAATTGAATACTATTGTGCAATTTAACGTTCGTGTAAAGTGTATTATTATAATAATATAATATATTTTGTCATCATCAATCAAGCAGTATAAATGTAATGTGATCAAAATGCCTAAAATTTGAAAATATTATATGAGTAGTAATGTCATATCAAAACGAAATAGCAATTAATAATGATCGAATTAAATGAAAATGCAAAAATCCCGCGGCGTGTGGTTTTTATGGGGCCGCCCGAATGCGCCGGACCGGGATTCGAACTCGCCTACCTAACGTCGGGGACCTATACTTAACACCTATCGACTACCGCTCGAGTTGAAAACCGTAACCGAATCTCGAGCACTTAAACCGTTTTAGAGATGCGACGAATACTACATTATACGTCAGACCTGTACACTTTACGATTCGCGTGTCAGAAACCGTAAATCGCAATTATTGTCGTTTAGAATCGTTTCCGACGTATTCGTTTACATTTTTAATCGTATAGTCTCAAAGACGTACCGAGTTTATCACAACACATATCAGATCCCCGTAGCGATTAAAGGCATTACAACGACTGAGAGCAACATTTTGCGATTTTTGTATATAATAAACATATCTGACGTACGTCAACAACGATACGCACGTTTTTATATAATATTATTATATATATATATATACATAATCGTATTTCGTACGCTATCGAGACGATAAGGTCCGCGGAGACACCGAAAACAAAACGCGTAATCGATACGGATAAACGATTTATCGTATCGTAAAAACAGTATTGACGATAGACGACCGACCGGAGAAC